CCAAGGACATTCCTTCCAGGTTCCCACTAGCCTCTCACTTCATTGTACATTTAAAATTCTTTTTTAGTGAAGTGGGTGGTAAATTTTTTTATTTGGTGGAAAGAACTCTACAACTTGCTATTATGTGCCTGCTTGACATGACAGAATACAAAAGGCCTGACATCACCTAATAGTAATTACCAGCAAAATGTTCACCCTGAATCATCCATACTTCTGGTCCTGCTTTCCAGTTTACAAGAGGAAATATGCAACAAATGGAACACCACCAGGAGAACACAGACAAATTGAGACTGTGAGACAACCAGCCTGGACTCTAAGCAAAATGATATGGGGAGGCATAGGGTAGGAGCTGCTTATTATTAAGAGATACAACAAACAAAAGCACAGATGAATCTGGTTGGCTCCTGGCGTGGGAAGCCGAGGGAACAGCTATAAAAGATATTTTAGAAACAACTGGGGAAATTAAATGTGGATTGCATGAATGTTCATTTTCTCAGGTTGGTAAGTGGTAGCACAGTTACACAGGAATCGGTCATTCCTAGGAGAGTATTTAGGGGTGAGGCATCATGCTACCTGCAACTTTATGTAAGTGGTTCAAAAAAAAACCCAAAAAGCTAAACAAGGACCCCACATAAATACACGTGTAGACAGAGAATAGTCTCCTAAGGGCAGACCAGCTGATTAGAGATCTGAACTGGTTTCAAAGACTCTCTTGACCAAAGCCCTCCCTTTTCTCAGCAAGGGTATGCATGTGCATCTCGGCAGGTCTGTGGCTAGCCAAGACAAGGCCCTTTGGGAGCCCCACACCCAGTCTTGTTTTCCTGGAGAGAAAGGTGCCTGAAGCAGACTGGAGGTGATCTCCAAAAGTACTGGGGTTCCCCTCCTGCCATATCTATGAGAAGGTCAGTGAGATAGAGGAACAGCAGGGTTTCAGAGGACCTTCCTCCACATTAACTCGGGGTATTAGTGCAGTGCTGGGGGGCCTCGGGGCATGACTGCTTCAAGCTGGCTGACTCTGGGTTAGAAGGACTCTGAACAACCCTGCCCTGACCTCTCAGAATTTGAAAGGCTTGGTACAAGCCCAAGGGAAACTGCAATTGACAGTTGCAATTGATCAATCAGAACAAGAACTGTTAAAACCTCCATTAACAGAACTTAGTAATGATGACACAGAAGGTGAAGGACAAGGGATAAGATCCAAGGAGAAGAGGAAGAAGGAAAAGGCAAGGGAGAGAAAGAGGCAGTTATCCTGGAAACTGTCCTGTCCTCAGCAGACAGAGGCTCTGGAAAGTGACAGAACCATCAAAGTGCCACAACTGGGGCTGAGAACCACAATCTCCGTGGCAAAAAGATAATGGTCCCTGGCCAGGCAGTAAGAAAGTGGGGTGTCCCGCACACTGCATCACACACATTTCCCACAGAGTTGGCAGATAGGTCAGCTCAAGGATAGCATGCACCCAGGAGCGTCTGTGCTGTGGCATCTCGGGTTGCAAGAACTCTGTGCTCAGGTTTGAGTTTGCAAAGGTACATATCAGTTTCCTTTTTGTGGTGTCCGCATCAATTCTGGCTATTTTGATGGAACAAAATGGGATTCCAGGACCGCACTTCATTCTTAAGTACAGAGCCTGTGTGTAAAGGCGAGGAGAACCCGACCACAGCATTGGTTCCTTCCCCTGCTCCAGCCCTTCAGAGGCAGGGTCATAGTCTGTCCTTGGGCCCACACACCCATCATGGCTAGTGTGACAGAAGTACGGGATGCTGACAAGTCACATGCAAACATACACAATACAGAACTTAAAACGCAGCCCTGAGAACTACCTCAGGGTTGGAAAAGTCTGAGAATCTGTCTTAGAATCATGAAAGCTGATCATGAGAAAACCCCTCTGCTGCTCTAAGCCTGAAGAGATGAGTACTAAACTATAAAACCAAGCCAAACCTGCACAGGTCACCTGTAATACCGTTGGCTCCACCCACCTTCCCTTCCCACATTGCTCTGCCCACCTCCACCTCCTTTGCCCCAACTGCTTTATCAGTTTATCTGATCCTATTTTAAGCAGAAAGGGTTTTTTTTTAATGCCTATCAAAGGATAATTCATAGCTTATCAGTATCGAACAGAATCAACAGAATGTCCACCTTAGTTATACTGTATAACTTCCTAAAATATTTTAGGGAATTTATAATAATCTACAAATATCCCATAGATCATTAAAATAACAGCAAAATGAGGGCTAGGGTTAGAGCACCTACCCAGCAAGAGCAAATCCCAGTATACAAAAATAGTAATAATAATTTTTAAAAAGCAGCAAAATGCCATCCATAGGACACCTCAGGTGAGCTTCTTCTCATTTTTACAAAGGAAACAGCTAGAAGACACCTGTCCAAGGTCCTAAGGCTCATAGGCAGGTCCCTGTACTTTCTTATTTGCCACATGCTATAGGCTAAAGCATTCAAGGTGCAGTCTGAGCAGGTGGATCTCCTGCTAAGAAGGCAGCACAGGTTCTCTATACCCTGTCAAACTCCAGTCCGTGCCTTCTCAGGGGAAACCCATGCCAGGCTATGACTTCCTGCGTCTGCTAATGCCTAGCCAGGATGGAAAATGTTCCCTCATCCTTTCCCTCGGCTGAGTCTGCAAGACCCATCTACCACCACCTCCTTGTGACTCCCGACTGAGTCTTTGCCTCCCTGATGGCACTGCTCTGTAGGCTTTGGGTCTGGACTTCACTGCACATGTATTAATGTCCTCTGCTTGCCATCACAAGTCACGCACACCTTCCACACAGATTGAGTCACTAGATATCTGTTGGACTGAGTCAGTATTCTTACTCTTCTCCCAGGGCCAGGTGAGTGGGTACCACCGACATCCTAACAGCCATAGAAATCTCGTGTCCCAGGACCAACATGATGCCAGAGTGCCCTGGACTACCCTCCCTGCCCAGCAGTGTGTATTCACTGCCATGGCTGCTATTAGATGGATGCTACACACAGTGAGGGAGACCTGCGCTCACACCACAGTAAAGATGGCCAAGTCCCTCAAGCACAGAGCACAGACACCCCTCACACAGCCGCATCTCCTTATTTCTGGTCCCTGAGCCATCCTGGCAGGCATCATGCTTCCATTCTTTCTCAGCTTACTGTTCTTTCAGAGGAGAAGGGAAGGAGAACTGTACTAACCCATGTTGTTCTTGTGCCTTGACTATGGACAAGAGGGTGCCCTTCCAGAACTAGAAGTACTCACCCAAATTCCCAAACCCCAGCCCCCCTCGATGGGTCACCTTAAGCAACTCTGCCCACCTCAGCTATCACTGGACTTAATCCTTGGCATAATATGGGGGTGCAGCTCCCATGGGCAAATGGTGCTGCAAGAAAGACACCTTCAATCCCCTCTTCAAGTTAGTCAATTATTCCTAACCATAGGCATTAACTGGATTTACAGATGGACTGGCCTACGAGTTTATTGGTAAGTCAACTGTGTAGAAAAATGACCATCTCCCCAAAGACCGTGCCCTGCATAGAAGGTAAGGCTCCTGAGTCAGTAAAACAAAGTTTTTCCCATCTACCCTAGGCTTGCAACACAGTCGTAAATGTCATGCCAAAAAAACACAGGATTTGCCATCATGTTTACTACCTGGCTATAGTGCTTTGTAGAAGACCTGGGCTTGCCTCCTCAGCAGGGAATGACACCTTCCTATCCCTCTCCTCTGAGGTCCTGAGGCCCTCCCCTCTGCTTGGCATAGTGGCTGTTGGCTGTTTAGCAGGGGCTGGGGATCTGAGAATTCTAAGAGCTTGCCAGTCCCACAACCTCCAGTGTAAATAGCTTCTCCCCACCAGAAGGCCTGCAAGGGAGCTGCTGTCCAGCCCCCAGGATGCTACCTACACTGCAACCGACACCCCAGCACTGCTCCCTGCCCCAAGTGAGGGCAGACCTCTTGAGTGTCATTCTGGTTCACTGGAATGCAGGCCATGACTCCCAAGCTACCTTCTGTGCTGTGTCCCCCTTGCTGCCCCTCCTCAGCAGGGAAGGCCAAGCCCTACTCAGACTGTCTCTGATGGAACAAGCAACAGAACCTGCAGACTTACTCTAAGTACACTTCTGCCAGAATGGATCCCCATACCACCCCAACCCCTGGGAAAGTGAGAGAATGCACTATAAAGAGGACAGAAGATGGGACAGAGGAAAAGGCAAGCTTGCAGGAGCTAGGGAAGTTTGTTTCTTCTCTTTCCTGGACCAGCTCCATATCCAATTAAGCAGGGGACTGGGAATGCAGAAGTGAACAAGCCATAGCCCTGGCATTAAGGAGAAATGACATGAAAACAAAACAAAAAAAAAAACAGGCTGGAATAAGAGCCACATTAGAAAAATGAACACAAGATGCACATATGGGAATTCAGAGGAGAACGGGGGCTTTCAGGAGTCAGGTATGCATCATAGGAAGGAAGGACAAGCCAGGTAAATGGTGGGGCAGGGGAGCAGCAAATGCACAGGAGGGTGAGGCAGCAGGGCACACAGGGACTGTGGGAAGCAAGGCTCAGGGGCATGTCTGGAAACATAGGACAATTTTGCAGAGAGCAAGGGACAAACTGGACACCAGGGACATCTTAATTTAAACAAAGAATAGAGCTACAGCCTGGCCAGCCCAAAAAGATGCAAATAGTAGAAAGATAGCAGAGGTAGGGCACAGAAAAGGTCAGAGAGAGGAGCCCTGGAAACAGGGGAGACCAACTGGAACCCTGGTGGTATGCTGGAAATGGGATGTACCTTGCCATCCAGGGGACAGAAGGAGCTCAGAGGTTGAGTCTCCAGCTTGCACAACTGGGAGCGGGTAGTACCCTCCACCAAGAAAAGAAAAAATGTGGGGAAAGGGGAGACCCTACAGGGGTAGAGGAGGGGACCAATGGCCACTCCCCCAACTCCACCTAATTTTTCTAAGCAACTATGGGCAAATGGCATGGCTCAGTGACTTACTGGGGCATCAACCCCACTTTAAGACCCCAATCTCACCTGCATCCAAACGTTGTCTGAAGCAATGTTGTGATTCCCACACAGAAGAAAATGGTCCCAATGAGCTGGCTGGTGGCCCACTGGTCATACCCCACACACATGGCATCAGCCAGCAGAAAGGGCACTGCAATTGTTCCACTGAAGCATGTCAGGTAGTGCTGTGGGGGAGAGGAGAAACAAAGCAGAGAAAGAGTAAACCCTCCCTCATTTTTCCTGAGTTCATCCTAACTTTGCTGCCCTGATAGCTTTACCTACATGAAGAATCTCTGATCTTTTAAGCTATACATTCTTATCATATACCAAAGCACATCTTTTTCTTTTCACTGTGTTTTCTTGCCTTATTACCCACCACATTATGATGTATGCCAGCGCAAGGGAAGTTCAACACAAGCTTATGTTTCTTACTAGAAGGTATTTGCTTTTTTCTTCCCCAAAGTTTTTCTTTCAATTGCTAAAACTATAGGGCCTTTCTCCACTAAACTATTAATGTGAACTGGGTTGTATTGAACCATTCTTGAAGCAAACCATAGTTAGCTGTGCTGTATTTTTCTTCTAGGGTTTAGTTTATTTCACATCTACATTTCTAAGATAATTAAGTCTATGGAGTGTGTGTGTTTTCTTTCAGGTCTGGGATTAAAGTTGCATGAGCTTCATTGCACAGGGTGTTTTCCATCTTTTTCTGTGAATTCATCTGTTTCAGTCAGGGCAGGGTCAAGGGCACAATAACCATAGGAATCCTCCAGAAAGAACCTCACCTTGCTCTTCCTTTGGGGACCCCATCCCCACTCCTTGTGGCGCTGGCAGGGCAGCCCCTGCACTCAGGGCTTATTTCCCTCTCTCTCTGGTTTTCTGGTTCTTATTTCTGTTAACTTCCTCCTTTTCTTTACCACAGCTTCTTATTTCTCTCCATGCCTACCAAACATGCTGCCTAAAGCTCATGAAGCCTAACAGTACAGGTGTGTCAGAAGGGCAAAATTTTCTTCCTTGGGGCTTCTCAGAGACACTTACAAGTTGTGTTACTATATATTGCCAAGAAGACAGTAGGCAGGGTTTTTGCCCCTATTTGACCAGGAGAGACTTCTAGAAACATGTATAACAGAAAAAGTCCGAAAACCATGCTTCTTGAACCTGGTTCAGGATACTCAGCCAAGGGTTTAGCTATCTGCCAAGAGCATTCAGCATCTTTGGCTCCAACTACTTCTTTACTAACACCTTCTACCCAGACTGCCATAAGCTCTGATGCCTATGGGAGGTTGGGTGCTGGAAACCCAACCAAACCACCAGTAGTCAGCAGGCATAGCCCAGCTCCAAGTAAACACTCAGGCCTGGACAACAGGACCAATTTCCAAAACATCTAAGAAACCTTAAGGGAACTGATCACACAAACTTGAACAAGGAGGCATGGAAACTCAGACCTGGGGACATGGTCCAAGCTGAAACAATAGAGCATTTACAGGCTGAGGGATGCCACTGAGGAAAGAACCTCATCCATTATCCTGCTTTGTCCCTTACCTCCACAGTTCACTTCACTCCTGTAGGTAGGGTGAGAAAGAGAAAGGAGGATGTGGGGGACCCCCACCAGCTTGTATCACTTCCTGCCTCATCCCCAGCCCATCCATCCTCTCCTCTCAATGGAAACTGCAACAAGGTAGATGACAAAACTATGAATTCCCCTTCCTTTAAAAGATAAGATCGTCCAATGATGTCCTGGCCAACAGGTCATAATTACAAGTGATCCACTTTTTGGGGTCATTCATATTTCATGGTAAAGCTTGTGGATTGGTTAATGAGGCCAGGGAATGGAGAAAAAATTAATTCCCTTTACACTTCTGCTTTTCTTCTCTCTCTATTCAGCCTTCTTTTCTATTTCTACTGTCCTTTTCCCCTTCCTTTCATATCACTTCTCTTTCTTGTTCACTGTACATTTTTCCTTCTTTCTCTTTCCAGTTCTTTTCTTCCTTCAGCTATTATAAAATTTATGTTAAAAATTTATAATAAAATCTTCGACAAATAATCAAAATTAAAATTTTCAAAAACTCAGCTGGTAAACCATTGAAGCACCTGATAGTAGTTACATATCCTGAAGGAACCATCTTACCTGCAACCCTAGAAATATGCACAGGTACCAGGGAGGAACATCTTCTATGGTATAAATCATGTCCAACCTCTGGGGGTCTAGGCTGCCAGTGCTGTCCAGGGTCTCTGCAAGAGAGCTCTGTGGGTGAAGGGGCAAAGGAGAGACTCAGTCAATCCCGGAAATGATGTTAGCTCAGCTCTGTGTAACCCACAGTTGCTGAAAACAACCATATCATGAGGCCACACACTCCTATCATTTTGTACATTGCAAGGCTCAAGTACATTTGCTCAGTGAGACAGTCTATCCTCAGAATTTGGGAGTTCTGCATCCCTCGGCATCAACTCATCCCCGAAAGCACCCAACTTGCTCAGAGTTTCTCCCCAAGCCTACTGATCCTTCTCTAGGGACACAGATGCTCCCAGGTTGAGGCCATAAAGTGACACCTTAAGGGGCCCCCCAATCACAAAATGTTGCAAAAAGTCACTTTCAAACAGAAAACAGTGATCTGCCCCTCACCATATCATACCCCTGTAAAGAGAGGATCTTTATACCTAGAAATAAAGTCTACACCCTCCTGCAAAAATGATGTTGCTCAGATGATGTTTAGTGAAAAGAGCAAAACCCAGAAGTATAAAACACACAGATTCAAATTTTCTTTAAAAGACAAGGCATTAAAAATGTATTTGTAGGACTGGGTGCTGGGGATGTGGCTCAGTGGTAGAGAGCATGCCATGCCTAGCATGGCACGAGGCCCTCGGTTCCATCCCAAGCACAAAACAAAACAAAATAAAAAAGAAAGAAAGAAAGAAAATTTATTTTATAGTTTAAGTGACAATTTTTCTTTTCTTTTTTTTTCTTGCTGTTAGTAAGATGTTTAAAATGTTAAGTGTTGCATGGTTTTTAAGCCAAAATCACTACAAAGACCAGACCTTCAGATTACAGCCTAGATATTTCCAGTCAGCCTCGGCATCACTTCTGAGCTCATTCAATACCTGAGCCAAAGAGAGCACTCAAGGTAACCCTGGCTTGCCCCAGAAAGCTTCAAAACTGCTCTGGTTTCTAAAATTCTACAAACAATTTATTACATTTCTTAAACTCTGAGATGTGTGTCTTTAAAAAAAAACTTTTATAATCTAGTAAACAAAGTGCCTAACAGGAAACAAATTTTAAAAATGTTCACAAATAAATAAATAAAGATGATAACATTCTGACCCTTGATCCTAGTCCAGTAAGAGCCCTTGTTAGATGAATTTGGTCCAAAGAAAGATGCTGACTCCATTAGCTCAAACTTAATTTTACTCAGAAAGGAAACAAGGGACTGGGGATTGGGAGCCAAATCCCCTTAAACACAAGAGTGAGACAGTTCTGTCTCACCTTCTACAGTCTAAAGGTAAATGTATGATGTAAGCTGCTATTTGATCTAATGCAAATATAACTGAATGTGAGTTTTCAGAGGAAACTTTTTCTTTTGTGAATATTGCCAGATTTGCTGAATGGCTTTAAATGGCTATTGTATGTCTTTTGGAAACTTGTTTTTAAAAAAATGGCAGAGAAAGTGCTGATGTGAGTGAGGAGTCTGTGTGCAGAAAAGGATTAAATTAACAGGCCTAGGCTGTCCAAACCTTGCACCTCTCAAAGGGAGGTCTGGCACTTGTCTGGCACCAGAAAGATAACCTCTAAGCTCCTGAGGTATTCTGCCTTTCAAGAAGTGGCTTTCTTTTTTAGCTGGGTGTGGTGATGTGTGCCTGCCATCCCAGCTACTCGGGAAACGTAAATAGGAAAATCAGAAATAAATTCGAGACCCAACTTGAAAAAAATGACTAAAGCAAAAAGGGCTGGAAACCTGGCTCAAGTGATAGAGCACCTGCCTAACAAGCACAAGGCCCTGAGTTCAACCCCTTATTTATCTCACCTCTTAAAAAAAAAAAAAAAAAAAAAAAGAAAAGAAAAAAAGAATGGCTTTTTAAAATCTGAAACCTTCAGTGTGATTTATTACAGGGGCCTCAGGCCACAATAAGCTTACCCTCTGGAGGGGCTGGAGACTAAAATCAGACACCCAGGTGGTGAGCCATACCTATGTGACCTATTACTAACAAAAACTCTGTATACCAAGGCTTGGGTGAGCTTCCCTTAGTGGGAACACATTGTTGCTGGAAAAAAATTAAAACATTGCCTGCCTAACTCTATGAAGACAGGAAGACTGGAAGCCTGTGACTGGTATCACCCAGATCCTGTCTGTGACTTGCCATCACTGATTTTTATATCTTTTCTCTATAAACAACTATGAGAATAACAACTTGGCTGAATTCTGTGAATCTTATAAAAATCACTGAACCTGATTTGGAAACTCCTGAATTGAGGTAACCATTTTGCTAAACAGGATGCAACTATGGATACTGGGCTCATTACACAAAGGACAGTTCAACACCATGACAGAATCTATAGTCTCACAGGGGAATGTGTTTCTGTTCAAAAGCAACAATATATAAGGAGTGTGTGTGTATATTCTCCCCACCTTAGTGTTTGGCTATAGTTGACTGATTAATGTCCCCAAAAGGCCCACCTGTTAAAGGCTTGATCCCCAGAGTAGCACTACTGGAAGGTGTTACAGACCTTTAAAAGGCAGGACCTAGTTGGGAGTGGCGGTCCATGCCTGGAAACCCAACATTCAAGAGGTAAAGGGAACAGGACCACAAGTTCAAAGCCAGCCTGAATTACATAGCAAAATACTGTCTTTAAAAATAAAAAAGAGGCAGGATCTAGTGAGAAGTCCTTAGACCACTGGGGGCTGAGTTCTTGAAGGGGACTTTGGGACCCTGCTTGTTCTTACTGGCTAAAGATATGAGCACTTGCTCCTACTCATACTCCGCCAAGATGAGTCATCCTCGCCAAGTGGCCCACTGAGACCACCTGATTTTGAACTTGAACCTGCAGACCTTTGAGCCACAAGTAGTCTGTGTCAAATGTGACACAAAGCTGGATAATACAGTATGTGATTTCTACTGCTTTGGTCAAAAAGCTTCACCAGAAGTATTTTCAGTCTATATAAGCTACTGCTGGTTCTCTTTCTCTTACTTACTGCACTGTTGGAATGTAGCAGGCACAGTGAACATAACTTCACGCACATCATTTCCTTCAGTCCCCACAGTGATCTGAGGCAGATGCTGATACAGATGGGGTAACCCTTATCCAAACTGTGCTTCAGAGTTTGGAATTTTTTAAGATTTTGGAATATTTGCTGGTTGGGCATCTCAAAATCTGAAATCCAAAATACTTCAAAAACTGAGTTTTGGCACTTGAAAAGCTTTGGGTTTCAGATATCTGGATTAGGGAAGATTAGCTTGTATTTTTATTCCCATTTTAGAGAACAGAAAATTGATGTCCAGAATGCTAAGTATGGGTCAATCTGCGCCCAGACCTGACTCCAGCCCTCAAGCTCTTAACTACTCCTGTCTGGCTCTCGGGCTGAGGCTTGTAAAACTAGATAATGATCCTATGAGGTTTTATCGTAACTGCCATTAAGACAATGAAAAGCTAGTAATTATGACACTTATTTCCATAACAAAGAGAATGCACCCATGACACACTCCTACACAGCAGAGAGACACAGAGCCTGAGAGTGACAACAGTCCTTGCAGTACCAGATCCCTGGACTGCAGCAAAGGGCAGGTACCTTCTCTGCGATGCCATTCTCTGTCGTATAGATTGCCATGAGCTCCGTGTCCTCATTGTCCTGCTCACCACTGGACGTAGCCCCTCCATTGATCACCACCTGAGGAGAAAGGCTCCATTAAGAGGCTGCTTCAACTTAAACTCTGCTGGGGAGAAATTTTTTTTTCCAACAAGCATTCTGGAATTCTTGTAACAGCTCCAAACTGTCCATTTTCACACATCACAGCAGCAAAGTTTTGGTGTTCTTAGATCAAACTCCTGATGGGCATATGCTGCAAAGTGAACAGGTGTTATTTCCAATGAAGAAATAGTGTGCCGTGTCCCATAGTGCGAAGCTGCAGGAGTAGGGGCTCGACCAGAGGAGACTAGAAATGGAACATTGCTGAGAAACCACAAGGATCATGAGACCCCTACACCTTCCAGGGCAAGGGAGGCAGCTGAGAGGCCAGAACTGCTGTTTGGGTGACCAGACCACTGCTGAGTGGGGGGTGAGAGAGTCCCAAGCTACCTCAGTAAGATCCCCTCCTGTGGAGCCACCAACAGCAACTTCTAATGTAGCCACCCTAAAGGAGTTAAGTGCTCTAGAGTTAAACTGCTGTCCACCTAATTAACTTGTTAGTATTTATTTGTCACTGCAATTAAACAGACTAACCTGCTGATGTGTGTACCTGGGAGACAGGGGTGGGAACAGATGTCTATACCAGTGAAATCTAATTTCTGGGCCCTTCAGGTAAGGGCTACAATTCAAGGGACTAATTCAAGGGGAACACCTGGCACCAGTAGCAGGTCACAGCCCCTTTCTAGCCTGTACTCAGTAAGGGGTAGCATAATTGTCTTGAGTTCTATTGACCTAAAGCAAGAACCTTAAAATAATTTCACTCTTCAACCAAGAGGTTCCAAAGGAATCCATCCTCAAGACACAAGACTGAAAACAAAGAAGGCTTTAACCCAAAGACGGTAATCACTGTCTTTGTATTTATGTGTAATAATGACTAACTAGTTATAGGTCATTTATGCCTAGACTACTTAAAGGAATATGATTTTACATGGAGTTTGTTATCTTAGTTTTTTTATTTTTTTTTTGGGGGGGGGGTTGCTGGAGTTTGAACTCAGGGCCTCATGCTTGCTAGGCAGGTGCTCTACCACTTGAGCCATTCCATCAGCTGGAATTTGTAATATCAAAAAAAAATGGATATGTAATTGATATTTAGCTGTATATATGGAACAATCAATGCAACTACATTTTTAAAACACAGATTTTTTTAAAAAGACAAAGTATGCAAAAAGTTTAAATTCCATCACTGTGACATACACTTAAAAAGAAGAAAAGACAAGTGATGGCCTAAAAGAAGATATGCTGCAACATATAAAAAAGGAAAGATAACTCACAAGTTTAAAATGATCACAGTTGTGTTAAAATCAATAATAAATGTTTCAATAACCTCCCTACCTTTCAAACACTTGGTAAACAAATTTAAAAGATTAAGCACCATGGCTTGGATGGAGGAAGTCCAAAGAGATTTCCAATCCACTTGTTTTTATAGTTAAGGAAATCAGGCCAGTGAAAAATTAAATTTCTCATTCAAGGTTGTGTAGATTATGCCCCAACTATCACATTATGAATTCTAACATGGAATAACTTTCCTATATAAGTAAAAACTTACTTTTAAAACCATTTCTAAACATGCTATAGTTTTTTATACAGCCAACTGATTTGTGGTGTTGGTTTGGCTGTAAAACTAGTTGCAGCAGGATCCAAATTCCTAGCTAAGTTCAGGTCCACACACAAAACTCCACCTACACTCCACATGATATCAAGCAGCACTTAACCCTCTGAGAGGCCAAAGGGGGCCAGAGCTCAGGATGGGTGGCGGGTGAGGGGCAGGGGGAAGGAAAACCAAGTCTGGCTTAGAGCCCTGTGCTAGATAAAACTACCCGTTCTTCGTCCACCTTGGATTGCTGCAGGAACTACTGCTTCTTGGGTACTGGGTACTTTTTGGGGTGATAAAGATGTGCTGGAATTAGATAGACATGGTGGCTATACAACATCATAAATGTAAATGTTAAATGTCACTGAACTGTTTGCTTTCAAATGGTTCTTTCAAATGGCTAATTTTATGTTCTGTGAAGCTCACTTCAATAAATTTATTTTGCTTTTATGTTGTTTTTTAGACAAGGTATCACTATGTAACCCTAACTGGCCTCGAACTAGTGATTTTCCTGTCAGCCTCCCAAATTCTGGGATTACAGGTATGCCTCACTATGCCCAGGCTTGATACATTTTTAAAAAATTTACGTAGTACCAAAGATGACAGATTTTGGCAAGAGTTAGCAATTCCCTGACTCTTCCCGTTCTCATTCTCTCTCTCTCTCTTTCTTTTTCTTTCTCTGTCTCTCTCTCTCTTTCTCTCTGAGAGGAAAGCCTTAACGATGAAGTTAGTGCCCTTATAAAAAGAAAGGTGGAAGGTTTATTTTTTTCCTCTCTCTCCCTCCCTCACAAAGAAGTACTATGAAACACAGACACTCCTTGGCCTAGACAAAGGCTCAAGTACTCATTCAACAAATCCCTCTGTGTCCCAGGCAAGAAGAATGAGTCCTGCTGCTCCCCAGGAGTGGGTTCCCCACTTGGGGCTAAGGAATTCTGACTTAATACAGGAGGCAGTAGGGAGGCAGCAAGGGGTGCCTAGCACAGAATACCACAGTCAGAGACTGGACGGGTGGGGTAAAATAAAGGGCAAATCCTTCAGGACAAAAGGGACAGTGGCCTAGGCTGAGGTATTAATGGGCATCTGGCAGAGCAAAGACATGCACTAATGGCCTCTAAGGTTGACTGGATGGGAGCTGTAGCACTTCACAGCTCTGTGGTTGGTGAATGTGAAGAGACAATGCCCCAGCCCTGGATCAGATGTTGGGGCAGAGGGTAGCTGGCAGGTGGAGGTGCCAGTACCAAAGAGAGTGGTATAAGGAGCACAGACACTATGGCCGAGAGAAGTTTTGCTTTCCCGTTAATCCAGGAAGTTTAGTGAATGGTAAATATTACTGACCTGAATAACCTATGATTTCTAGTGTATGTGCACAGGTAAAACCAGCCTGGGGACCTCAGAGACCCTTTCTACCCTCTCAGACTCCTGTGACAGAGCTGAGCTGCAGGTCACCCTTCTTCCTGAAGGGCAGGAACAAGGTCTCCATTTCCCCTTGTGCTCCACCAGAGCCCCAGCTAGGAATGGAACAAATTGGAAAGGTGGGAGGTTCTGGTGCAGACAGGGAATGAAGGAGGTTCTTACTGAAGGGAGTGAGGGACTGGACACTGGGGTGAGGCTGTGGGAAGTTGGGTGCTTTCAGGGTACACTTATCAGACCCCTTGTCTCTGGTGTGGTTTTGTATAGGGAGTGCCTTTTTTTTTTCTTTTGGCAGTACTGGGGTTTGAACAGAGGGCCTCATCCCTCGCACGTGCTAGGCAGGCACTGGATCACTTCCTCTGCCAGCCCGGGAGTGCCTAAGTTTCAGTGCTCAACAGGAGACTCTTATCCTCTCTCCTCTCAGAAAACTGGCCTTTTTCTAAAAATGACAGATTATTTATAATCCCTTAGGGAATAAGATGTCCTTTCTTGCCCAAAAACTATTTGAAACTGAATTTGCAACTTCAAATTTTGCCTCCTAAACTATTATTATACAATCACTTAATCACCTATGAAAGCAGGTTTTATGTGCTTCAAAATGCAACGCTAGTTAGACTTTGGTTATGGGAATGTGTCTACTGCTCAACAAATGGGACTTTTTTTGATCAAATGTTTTGTTTCTACTAAGCTTAGCCAATGTTAAACAATGCTAAAGTTTTCTAAGGAGTTCTGAGATGGTCAGAGGTATAGAGGAGGGAGGTATAGGAATCACATCCTGGGGGCGTCATCTGAGCGTCCACATCATAGTAGGCCAGTGTTTAAACTGAAGGCCAACTGTGCCTGTGCTGTTATTCCAACAGAAGCTATGTGAATTGCTGCTACAGACACCTATAGTGGTGAAGACACAGGGCACCTGGAGCCCCACACCTCTGAAAGGTTCAAAACTCAATCTCTCACCTAGTCAACATCTGGTATAATGCATCAAGCATGGTAACAGAGTCTCAAAGCTACAGGAACCACTTAATATTAAACCAATCACTTTCAGAGTAGTAATAAACTTCCCCCAAATTAACTGATTTTTTTTCCCCTGGTACTGGGGCTTGAACTCAGGGCCTATACCTTGAGCCACTCCACCAGCCATTTTCGTGTTAGGTATTTTCAAGATAGAGTCTCTCAAACTATTTACCCAAACTGGCTTCCTGATCTCTACCTCCTCAGCAGCTGGATTACAGGTGTGAGCCTCTGGCACCTGGCTTAACTGATTTTTGTAAGAACATAATTATATATATTTTTGGCAATACTAGGAACCTAATTCAGGGCCTCCTGCTTACTAGCTACCCTGAAACTGGTTCATGCAGCAATACTGGACTCTAATCTTGCTTTCGCTGCCTCTTCAGACTTGTGCCTTGTGACACTCCTGGGGGCCAAATGCAAGCAAAACCATCAGCAGATAGTACAATCGAATCTCGGCCCCTGCAACACCCATCCCTGGTCCTCTCCACAGGGCTCCTGGAGCCAAAGCAGCCACAGCACCCTCAGAGTTCCAGGTGTGTTCCATCTGTCCCTAGTGCCATGTATCTTTCAAGGAGCACTCAGAGCTGGTGGGATGATCTGCCTGTTGCTGGCTCACACTGAAGTCCTGTGCAGACTGTGTTCCTTTCCCACACAAAGCCCAGGATGGATGGTGGTGGGGGTAGCTAAGTTAGCCTGGCAGATATTCAAGCCAGGCACTGGGTCAGCCATTTCACTAGTATCTTCTTTCCTAGGTGAGACACATAAACAGTTAACTAGAGATGTCTGTTATGGTCTGAATACAGTGTGTTCCCCCCAAAACTCATGTTGAAATTCATTCCCCATTATAAAATATTAAAAGGTGGGAATGGGCAGGACCTTTAAGAGGTCCTTACAAACATGTAATCAATCATGTGATTTAACAGACGGGATCAATGAGTTATCCTGAGGGTGGGTCTGCTGTACCGGC